GATAGGAGAGAAGTCTTGGTGCTCAAATTTAGGGTGGGGTAGCTAAGATTTTATTTTTAAGTCCTCCATGGTGGTAGTCTCTGAAATGCTTCCAGTTCTATCTACAGGGCCGGTTTGATAGTCTGCATTGAGACCCTGTTGTTATGCCTAAGGTAATGGTGTTGAGAGGAGGGATTGGGTTCATTAGAGAATAGAGAGAACTTTTGGGAAAGGAGGAGCCTATGAAGGAAGGACGAGCTCCATTAAACCAATATGGAATGAGACTTCTGGCATGTAAAATTAAAAAGCCTGGAGAAAAGCTTAATTTAAAGTCTCTGGCCCAGCCAGCAGGTGCAAAGGTGCACACAGTTTGGACAGACACATCGTTGAAGGGGAGGATTTATTAAAGTGGACACTATAAAGCCCTGGTTTCCAACACTAGCCACATGTTGCTGTTTGGCTGGTTGTATGTGGCTAGTTGAAATACAATAGACTCTCTACGAATGGACATTCCATGCTCAAATAAGAAGAGTATTACATCAGGAATAGCTGCTGACAACTTTACCAAAATGGGAAGGATGTTTGTGAAATGCTTAGGCAGATTAGAGAGGCAACAAAAACAGAAAACCCAATAATAATGGGGACTTATGAATGTGGCGCACTGAACCCAATGCAGATTCTTGAGTCACTCTGCTCCTCTGGCCATTTTGAAAACTATTTACTCCCACCTCCTCTTCACTATCTTTTAGCCACTTACTGATGCTTGAGAGGACCTTCCCTCTTATCCCAGGACTGTTTACTTTGCTTAAAAGCATTTGGTGAGAGACCTAGTCAAATGCTTTCTGAAAGTCCGAGTACCCTATAGTCACTAGATCATCCATGTCTGCAAATTTGTTGATTCCATCACAGAATTCTAATAGATTGGCGAGAAATGATTTCCCTTCACAAAAGCCATGTTGACACTTTCCCACTAAATTGCATTCCTTTCGGTGTCTGATAATTCTGTTCTTTACTATACTTTCAGACAGTTTGCTTAGGTACTGAGATTAGGCTTACCAGCCTGTAAATGCCAAGGTCACCTCTGGAGGCTTTTGAAAACATGGGTGATACATTAGCTATCCTCCATTCGACTGTACCAAGGCTTATTTAGGCAATAGGTTACATACAACAGCTAGCCAGGTGGCGGCTTTGCTCCTGTCCCCCTGGTGTGCTGGGGGGGTCCAGCAAAGCCGCTGGACCCCCCCCAGCAGACCAGGGACACCCGAGCAAAGCCGCCACCTGGCTAGCTGTTGTATGTAACCTATTGCCTAAATAAGCCTTGGTACAGTCGAATGGAGGATAGCTAATGTATCACCCATGTTTTCAAAAGCCTCCAGAGGTGACCTTGGCATTTACAGGCTGGTAAGCCTAATCTCAGTACCTAAGCAAACTGTCTGAAAGTATAGTAAAGAACAGAATTATCAGACACCGAAAGGAATGCAATTTAGTGGGAAAGTGTCAACATGGCTTTTGTGAAGGGAAATCATTTCTCGCCAATCTATTAGAATTCTGTGAGGGAATCAGCAAATTTGCAGACATGGATGATCTAGTGACTATAGGGTACTCGGACTTTCAGAAAGCATTTGACTAGGTCTCTCACCAAATGCTTTTAAGCAAAGTAAACAGTCCTGGGATAAGAGGGAAGGTCCTCTCAAGCATCAGTAAGTGGCTAAAAGATAGTGAAGAGGAGGTGGGAGTAAATAGTTTTCAGAATGGCCAGAGGAGCAGAGTGACTCAAGAATCTGCATTGGGTTCAGTGCGCCACATTCATAAATGATCTGGAAGAAGGAATTAACAGAGAGATGGCATTGTTTGCAGAGAAGATAAATCCAAAGTAGATTGACAAATTACCCAGGAATCTTAAAAAAACCCCAAACCAACATAAAAGCAAAACTGGATGATTGGCAACGAAACGATGATAAATACTAAGTAATGCACACTAGAAAACAATCCTAAGTATGCATACAGAATGATGGGTTCTACACAGGATGCTGTAACTCCAAGATCTTTAAGTCATCCTGGATAGTTTTCAACAACCAAAGTAATCAGTGTGCAGCTGTAGTGTAAAAAAAAAAAAAAAAAAAGTTAACAATGTTGGGGATCATTACGAAAGGGATAGAAAAAAGATGGAAAATATAGTACCCTGTATATAAATCCATGGCACTCCAACACCTTGTGCCCTGTGTGTAGTTCTGTTTTTCCCCATCTCAAGAGAGATATTCTAATTGGAAAAGATACAGAAAAGGACAACAAAAATGACTTAAGTATGGAACAGCTTTCATATATGGAAAGATTAAAAAAAATGGGACTTTTCAGGTTGGAAAAGAGATGACCTAAGATGGGATGTGGAGAAAGTGAATAAGGAAATGTTGATATTTACTCCTTCACATAACAGAAGAACCAGGGCTCAATGAATTTTTTAGGGAATAAGTTGAAAACAAAAGTTCCTTTTCTATAATATACAGCCAACCCGTGGAACTTATCAGAGGATGTTGTGAAGGCCATAAGTATAACTAGATTAAAAAATAATTAGATTCTCATGCAGGGATTACTCAATAAATTTTCCTGTTTTGTTTATTCCCTCTGAAGCATCTGGCCCTGGTTGTTGTTGGAAGACAGGCTACTGGGCTAGATGGACTGTTGGTCTGACCCAATATGCCTGTTTTTATGTTTATTTTTCTGTCCAGTTACTTCAGCCCTGTTCATTTCTTCTTATCTTGTATAGGATGTGTGTTAAATTGAAGAACCCCTAAAATGTATGTAAGGTAAGGTTGCTTGTTCATCTAAACATAAGAAACATTAGAATTGCCATAAAGGGTCAGACCAAAGGTCCATCTAGTGGTCTAATATCCCATCTTCCAACAGTGGCCAATGCTAGGCCCTCCAGAGGGAATGAACAGAACAGGGAATCATTAAGTGATCCATCCCAGCCTTGACGAAACAGAAGCTAGAAACATCATCCCTTCCCATTGATGGGCCTGCCCTCCATGAATGTATCTAGTTATCTGGGTGTTCTAGTGAAATTTAATCTCTAATATTGATACCATTCTCTGGTGTAGGGGCTATACATGATGTGATATCAGAAGTAGTGTATGCACATTATACTATAGGTATGGCTGTAATTCTTTCCTTGCATCCTAAAGCCTTGATCCTGTAAAGATTTATGCATGTGAGTAGATGTGTTGAGCACTGTGGAACTACTTGCACATGTGAAATTCTTGGAGAGGGTGGCTTAAGGTTGCACTTGTTTTCAACACCCATTTTGAGCTTCTCCAAAGAGCCTTAATCAGAAATACAGGCATTTTGGGGACAAATTAATTATCCTTCCTACTGACAGTGAATCTAGAAATTGTATGAAGCAGGGCCTAGAAATGAAGAACTTGAAACAGGCTTAAATGAAAACATGCAGGATAGATGATATGAGATCAGTTTAGCCATTTTTTTCTGAAGAGTCATTTAATCTGCATTCTGTTCAATAACTTCAGTCTCTTTGAGGCTGTTTTTCTCAGTAATTGCAGAAATAAGCGTTGCAGATTTAGCTCTGCATTCTGCTTACCCTTACTCTTTCTAAGGCTTCTTGAGGAGTAAGTACCTGAGTACATGAACATTTAATTTGCAGCAAGCTGGGGTATAAATCTATTGCATGCCAAGTGTCTGGACGTGCTACCACACGCTAACCATTCCCTAGTGCAGTTTGATCTATCCTGCTTTGAAATACGAGTAGATCAAAGTGCACTAGGGAGCAGTTAATGCAAGGCAGCAGGCACCACATAGACACTTTGTTCATGGCAGGCTAGTGCAGGGTAGACTTGTATCCCAGCATACTGGGAACTAAATGTTTGTGTAGACTGGCTTTAAGATACAACCCAGCATAAGGTACCTAGCTTAGTTCAGACTGTCTGTCACCTGCCCCCTTGTTAGTTCTGAACTTAGTTATAACTCCTGTCTTTGTTTTAGATTTTCTCCTGATGGAAGACTAATAGCTTCTGCCAGCGATGATAAAACTATTAAACTATGGGATAAAACCAGCAGAGAATGTATACATTCTTTTTGTGAGCATGGTGGGTAAGTATAAGTAGAATGCACCGGGGAAAACACACAAGACTGTCTGTCTTGTGCCTTCCACATGTCTTTGACTGTTTTGTATAGTCACATAGATCCTAGCTATGCAGAAATGACTTTTTGTCACCAATCATTCCATCCAGGATCCCTGCAGCTGGGCTTGAAAGTGACAAAGATGCTAGTGTAAATGGAGACAAATGTGTTTTAATCTCCATCTAGTGGCCTAGATATGAGCTGTTTCTTATAAATCATTTTAGTCACATTATGCCTTGTCCAAATGTGAAACTTCTCACACTTCCCCTCCCAGCATGATCTTTCTCTAGCTCCAGAGAATTTGAGGTTTGAGTCTAATTTTCCTACACTAGGTTTGCCAAAACTTCATTAATTCAGAGCACTATAAAAATAAAGTTCAAGGACTCAAAGGTGTTTACAATAATGCTTTCATTCCTGGTTCTCTAAATCATAACGTTAAGCAACCTTGTATGTGTCTGTGACATAGGGAAGTGTTGTACCATTTTATAGCTGAAACTGAACCACTGCAAGATTAAAGAGCTTGTCCAACGTTACAGAGCAAGTCCGTGATGGAACTGAGACTAGACTCCATGGTTTCCATTCCATGGTGTCATTTGACGTATTCTTCCTTTATAGACCTGTAACTATACATTTTTGTTTGTTTGTTTTCCCTTTTATATAATTCTCTTGTTTTCAAGATAATGTCTGAATTTATCATTTAATACTGTGGTACAGTCTTGTTTTTCATAAGCCTTTTTACTATACCTGGTTCTTCCACACAACAGAACTAAGAATTTGAAAAGCCTTGGATAAGTGGTTGATGGTATCCTTAATATGGTGCAATGTAAGGATGTTAGTAGGGCAGTTAGTTTTTCTTGTATCTGATCTGCTACTTATTTCAGTGGAGCAAGATTTGCAAAGCACCTTATAAAAGATCTTTAAAATAAGGCTATGTCTACACTGCAAGTTTTTGTGGTAGAAAATATGCTGAGGAACTCATTAGCATGAGTTGCAATGTCATTAGCATATTTTCTGCCGATTCTTTTTGCGCAAGGGGTTTCTGCACAGAAAGCAGCAGTGTAGCCTGCTTCCGTTTTGCCCAAAAAAACCCTTTTGAGCAAGATCTTGATGCCTCGAGCATAAGGATCCTGCGCAAAAGTGGTTTTTTTAAATGCAGAACGGAAGCGGCTACACTGCTACTTTTTGCCTAATGACCCCCTTGCAAAAAATAAAAAAACCGGCAGAAAATATGCTCATGACATTGCGACTCATGCTAATGAGTCCCTCATTAGCATATTTTCTGCCGCAAAAACTTGCAGTGTAGACAAAGCCTGAGTGTGTTACAATATGCAGCCATGCCCTTTGATCTCATAAGTACTAGTGAAGAACTACTGGACCTTAGTAAGAAAAAAATCTTCTATTTACATATAAACTTCTAAAAATTAATGTTAAATCATCTAAATCTATCAATCATCTAAATCTACAAAATTCCAGAAGCAAACCTGCTGGAACTCATTTAATTGTATTAAAGAATTTGAGGACAAACACATGTGTGTGGTGTTTGTGGGTGGGTGGGTGCTTTTGAGAGCACAGCGCTCGATCCTGCCTCAAGAATGTGAAAGAAATACTGTCAGCTGTCCTTCTGCCCCTGTAATATTATACTATCGTACGGTGGTGCTCCTTTGTGGAAGGGATCTCTTCAAGTTTAAACTGTTGGATTTTTCTTTACAGGTTTGTGAATCATGTGGATTTTCATCCCAGTGGTACATGCATTGCTGCAGCTAGTACAGATAACACAGTGAAGGTGTGGGATGTTAGGATGAATAGACTCCTCCAGCATTATCAGGGTAAGTTACAGCCCTAGGTGAGTAACTTAATAACTGGATCCCCAGGAGGAAAAAAAAGCTTGCAATGAAATCTACCTTACTTTAACAAAAAACGGGACTGTGTAGCACTTTAAGACTAACAAGATGGTTTAATAGGTGGTGAGCTTTCATGGGCCAGACCCACTTCCTCAGTCTGGCCCACGAAAGCTCATCACCTATTAAACCATCTTGTTAGTCTTTAAAGTGCTACACAGTCCTGTTTTTTGTTTCAGCTGCACCTGACTAACACAGCTACATTTCTACCACTTCCTTACTTTACAAGTTGAAAATAAAACTTGCCAGTTCTAAATTCAACTATTAGCACCTCTGTGGCTTTAGCACCTCTGTGATATCTCCCTACCCAACAGTGTTTTCGACTTTATGGGTCTGTTTACTTAAGGCAGACTTGGAGAACTAAATACTCTCTAGCTTCTCTATGTTAACAAATAGCGAATGTACATATAGCTGAAAGGTGTGGAAAACTGCAACAATGCCAGAATAGCAGAATTATCTTAGCACTTCTCCTGAGTAGCCAGCTCCTCCTTCACACCTACCTTTAAAAGCATATATTTACACTCTTGTTACGGATGAGTGCTTTGAAAGGAATATGTTCAATAGTAAAACGGGAAATTGTGCGAAGAGGCCACCAACATTGCAGAGTCTTTAGTACCAGAAGGATGCTAGTGAGCAGCAGCACTGTAAAAAGAACTTGTCTTTCCTCTTTTCTTTGAGTGTTTCTGAAATTCAGAGCTATGGGAGGTTCTCCTTGTACTCGTGTGATGAGCCCGAAATTCAGAGCTATGGGAGGTTCTCCTTGTACTTGTGTGATGAGCCCTGGTCCCGTAAAGTTTGTTTACAACCACCAGTCCTGGCTCTTGGTGTTCTGTGCTGTTATTTAGCTTTAATTTACACCTAAATGTCTTCTAAGAGCTTAGAAGCAGTAGAAGTGTTGGTAATGCTGCCTGACAATATTGACCTCCTGTGATCCAGCAGATTCTCTGGTTCGGTACCAATCAGGTCCCGAGGGTGCTGGACTAAAGAGGTTCAATCTGTACTTGTTAATTGTGATGAAGTACCTTCTACTTTTTTTTTTCTTAAGTGAAACAGAACTCCTTGAGTCTTTCACTGTAGGGCTTGTTTTCCAGTCATTTAATTGTTCTTGGGTTTATCAGTGAGCCTTTTCCAATGAATCAGCATAAGCTAAAGAAAACAGACATTTCGGAAGAGGTCATTGCAGAATGCTTGTGGATGGTGCATGAGTGTCACTATATTACTGGTTATACTGTAGTTGTAACCGTGAATTTCAACACCGAGGTAAAGGGGATACATCCTTCCTATTGGCCATAACTCCACTAGCAAAGTTATCTGTATATTGAGAGAAGTGCCTACTATAAATTGTGTATGTATTAATGAAACTTGCAAATAGGTATAAAAGCTCTTCTGTTAAAACAGGCAGAACTTCTTAAACTAGGGTAAAGGGCAACCTGAAACTGCTGATCAGCTTTTATGCAGTGGCAGGATACACGGCATGTGTTTCAACCACATCATTACTTGGCTTCACGGTGATTTCTTCCTACATATGATGTAGAGCTATTAAATTGTCTGGGTCTAATGCGTCCTACTTGCAATATGACTGTCAGGATTATTTTTCTCTTGGAATTTTAACTTTTTCCTAAGTGGCATTTTATTGTTATACTGTAGTTATTGAAATGTTGTAAAACTAGCTACTGCATAAATCCTAATTAGGCACCAAACTTTCAGTTTGAAATAATACATTAAAATTAATAACTTGCAGTGGTTATGTTGCTCAGTGAATTCCTGCCAGTTGCTTTGCAGATATAAATGGGTATCTTTCATTTGCCTAAGGATTTATATGCCTAAGGATTTATATGCCTAACTCATTTGATTTAGATGGAAGTGACAGATGTTGCACAGGTGAAAACAAAATTATAGTTTTAGAAGTCAGAGAACCATCAAATCACTAAATTCCACTAGAGGGCATCTTTTCCCTTCAATATATAATATTGAGAAACTGACATGCTTGTTTGAGGGTTTTTTGTTTTAAGGGAATCCATTTTAAGAGTCAGATTGGATTGATTAGAGAGTTGAAATTGATAAGAAGTTCCCCCACCATAGAGATGTGAGTAACACTTTGGTTGTTATCTAAACAACTGATTAGTCTTTGTTGTTGTTGCAGAGGCTTGTTCCAGTTGCAGCATTTGTAAAAAACTAACGGTTTTACAATTTTTTTTCTGCTTTTGTCGTCTCAGTAAATTAACTTATAAATCATCTGCTTAATAAGCAAATGAATGAACTGTTTATTTCCTGCATTGATACAAAAACTCTTTTGTATAGCAAATTAACCAAAAAAGTCTGTATTATATGTTACTGGTATTAAGTTCAGGAATATGTTAAGACGTGTTGTCTAGAGCAAATCTGGTGACATCCTGCAGAATAAGGAAAACTAGCATCCCCTTGATATGACTTGACCTGCACCTCCTGGATAATGAGGAGTTGAAGGTCAAATAGTGGACTCTTAATAACTGTCTAAATTTACTGAAATATATAATTTATTAGTGTGACACTGTTGTGTATTAGGCACAATGCACTATTCCTGTACGTAGCAGGATAAAGTTATTGTGGTGATCTTTTACCAGTCCAGTTACAGCAATCACTATATAGCAATTAAACATGGCCTAATGGAGAACATCTTCAATATCTGCCATCTGTTTTCTGGTAGGTTACTTTGCATTAGTCTGAGTTGTCACTAGAGATGTCTTTGGGGGTTTTAACTAGTAACAGAATCATTTAGGAGATTGGACTATGCAATATAAGCCACTTGGAGATGGTGGGACATCTTGTTCTGTGTTCATTTGTATTTAGCATGATGGCGTCTGGCCCGTGGCTGGGGCTCCTTGGTGGTACAGCAATACAAATTAGTAATAAAGGTTGAAAGTAATTTATTCCACTTATACTTATTCCATATGGAATAAATTACTGTATCATAGTATTTTTTTGCATTTTAGGTCCTAAAAAACAGAGCAATGGAGTTGAATACCATGGGCAGTCATCTTGATTACGCTGTGCATTACCAAAATTTTTTGTTTGCCACATTTGTATTCTGTTTTTAGATTTGGGATGGTAAGGGTGGTAGAAGGAGGAATCATTTGCAGCAGGAGAGAACAGAGATTTTCATTAGTAGTTTGGATTTCCTTCAATTTTATCCATTATTTCTCTTTATTAAAAACAAAAACCTGCCGTCCAGAATCATTGATCTGGGAGTAAGACCGTTAGACCTTTAAGAGCTAACCTGCTGGCTTCGCAGTGTGTGAAGCTTGGCAGTTCACAGTGGGCTGACGTTAGTCTATTGAAATAACTGTACCCTTTTTTTATTTTGTAACATGACTATATTGTTTATTAGAACTGTTGATAAAGAAAAAATAAATGATGAAAAATGTAGAATAATACACATGCAATGGAAATCACCTTAAAGGTGGTGGTGTTTCGGCCATCTTAATTTCTATTCTAGTCAATGGCTGCTAAAATGGCATTAGCTAATCTCTGGCACTTGGTGGACTGACCCATTGTCACAGCTCATGATTTAAATTTTGTTCACAGTACTTAAGTTCACTCTACAGACCACCGGATCTCTATTTCAGTGGATAAGTGTGAAAAAGAAAGGTGTTACCTTAGTACTAGGCTAATTCTAACTGACTGTTAATAATGACTGTATACCATGTAACTGTAGCCACATTGGTCCCAGGATATTGGCGAGAGACTTTGTTTCTCTAATATTGACCATACACACTTCTAAGCCTTGAATGGCAAATGCACAAGTCAGTGGCAGGGGCTGCTTCTTTCCCCTGCTGCCTCAACCATTCATTGGTCACAGCATGAAATAGATGTGGATCACAGTATTTGCTGGCAAACTCAGTGTGAATGGGTGTCGGGAGGAGGAGGAAGAGATGGTGGGTGGTGGTTTACAGTATCGCCTGAAGGAAGAGCAGCAGTTGAGCTATTGGTCACCTCCTACTGTCCATGATGCGGCCTCTGTGACCCACTTGTTAGCCTCTCCATGCTACTTCATGAGCTTGGGAGGCATTCCCAATTACTTTCTGCAGAGCTACTTTATCATCCACCTTTAAATCCTCCCTCAAAATTCGTTAGCTATGAAGCCTATGAGATTTGACAATGATTACACTGCTAGCTTGCTGAGGCCACTGCTTATCATGCTGACTACTGTTGCCTTATTGTTTGTACTCCTCCCTCTGTCTATAGCAGGAGTCTTAAATTTCAGGTCCATGGGTCAGTACCTGCCAGAGTGATTGCGCAATCCGGCCCAGGACTCCCGGTGGGCTGGGGCGGAGAGAGGGGGGCTGACAGTTACCAGCCCCCAAGCCCTGTCCTTTCCCACCCTCTCCCCCGTGACACTCTGTCCCCCAGTACACGGCTTTGGGGATCACTGGGGTGGGGTCTGGTGCTGCGTGGCGGCAGTGTTCATGTTGCCTCACACTTCCTACCATGGCAGGAGCCACAGGGGAAGCAAAGTGTGCTCGCCAAATGTGCTCCTAACCTGCCTATAAAAGAATTCTTTGTAGGGTGAGAATGATATAATTTTGTCTCCAGAGGAGTCCAAAGTTGATTTGGAAACTTGTGACAGAGCATGCTTTGTAAACTCTGAAAAGTTAACCCATGTGCTGCATGCTTATGGAGAATCTAGGCTGGAAACTAAGAAAAATCTTTGTACTGCAGGTCAACTGTAACTAGAATCACAACTTCAGTAAAGTATGTGTGTGCATTTAAAGGGTGGAGAGAGTGAAATCTAGTCTTTTTTAAAAAGGTGAGCATAATTAATTTCAGGTACAGCACCTGACAATTGTTTGGGGGAAAGGGATGGGTTACAATCACAATTGTCTACTTCTATTGAACTATTTTTCTCTCGAATCTTTTTGTATGGAAGACCCTCACGCACAACTGGAAAACTAACTGACTATATACAAAGTACTGTTGCATGTGGTCTTAAGTTTAAAAAAAAAATCAAACATTTTTAAGTTGATGATGTCTCTGTAAAATGGAAGATGCCAAATGGACATCACTGGCAACTAGAGCTCTCATGAAATCTGCCTTGCTATCTTACATCACCCTGTTAATTTGCTTTACTGCAACCTGAAGGGTCTTCTTGTAGGGGTGAAAAACTGACTTAGATTCTATTCACTTTACTGAGACTGCCAATGGGTAACAACAAATATTTGTTCATGAGGTATTGATCTGAGACACAAATGTATTACACATGTAAATGCATGACTGTTAAGTGCCAACATAATTCCTGATCCTGTTCAATCACATTCAGAGGATCTTGTGGCTTGGTTAATGCTATCATGAAATAGTTTAGGGCTGATGGATCTTCAGGCTCTTACTCAAAAGAATGAGAGACACTTTGCACAAAAAGTTCAAATGAATTCTGTGTTCTCTGTTTCTCCAGGTTGTCACTGAAACTATCATCTCTGAGTAAGAGCTGGGCAGCTACTTCATTCATAAGGAAGAGAAAGAGAGCAAAAAAAGGAAGGGTATTGGAAAGTAATAGTTGGGAGAAGGTCTCCTTATACCTATAGCTCTAGTGAAAAACAAACTCCACTCTGAAAAGCCTCATTTGTATAAAAGATTAAAACTTTAGAATATCCTTGCCTGTATGACAGGTGCCTTCAAGTACTTCAAGCATAAACAACAGCGTGTCAGTCACCATGGACATTAGCTCAGAAATCCAAATCTTATTGCCACATGAATTATCTAATGTATAAGAACACAGTATTGATCATTGAATGCAACATCTCAAAAGAAGGTAAATTAAGTAGATCAGAATAATTGCAAAACCAGCAGCGCTTCTCCTTGCCTTTAGGTTAGCTTCTTTCTACATTTAGATGGCTTGTGTCCAAAACAGATAATCCATTTTACACCTTCTCCCCACATACTGTCACATGCTTTATGCATTACTGTTTAACAAACTATTACATATAAGTGGAGAGGGAGAGGTTCAAAGAACTTTACTAATAAACCACTTCAGTGACAACAATCCAGGAAATAGAGATTTGTTCACATTAAGTTTTTCTATTTGTTCCAAAACCTCCTCTAATGACACTTCAATCCGGGACAGTTCCTCAGATTCATCACCCACAAAGGACGGTGCAGATTCGGGATTCTCCCCCAACGTCCTCAGCCATGAAGACTGAAGCAAAGAAATCATTTAGTTTCTCCGCAATGGCTTTATCGTCCTTGATTGCTCCTTTTATAGCTCGATCATCTAGGGGACCCACAGGTTTTTTAGCAGGCTTCCTGCTTCTAATGCACTTAAAAAACATTTTATTTCTTTTTGAGTTTTTGGCTAGCTGTTCCTCAATCTTTTTTTGCTTTTCTTATTACATTTTTACACTTGAGTTGACAGTGTTTATGTTCTTTTCTATTTATCTCACTAGGATTGGACTTCCACTTCTTAAAAGATACCTTTTTGTCCCTCGCTGCTGCTTTTACATGGTGGTTAAGCCATGTTAAGTGTCCAACCGGTAGTTTAAGCCCATTGCTTCTTATCCCATCCTCAGAGGTTAAGGAGATTACTTTTCTCCTTCCTCCTTGTAGCACCCTTTTAGATATTTGAAAGCTGTTATCCTGTCCCTTCTCAATCTTCTCTTTTTCTAAACTAAACAAACCCAATTCTTTCAATCTTCCCTTATATTTTCTAGAGCTTCAGTCATTTTTGTAGTTCTCTGGACCTTCTCCAATTTCTCCACACCTCTCCTGAAATGGAAATACTCCAGTTGATGCCTAATCAGCGTAGATTAGAGGGAAAGATTTACTTCTCCTCATGTTTTGTGTGACCCTTGCAGGGGGGTGAGAGACTTTGTGTGTTCCCAGGACCCAGTTGTCCTGGAGGCAGGGGAGCATGTGTGAAGTTTCTTGCCCCCCAGGGATGCGCAGCGCTGAGCAGCACATGGAGGGAACCCATGTGGCTGGGGCTGCTGCAGGAAGGAGCCTGACTCAGGGACCTTGTTGGACTACTGGCTGGGAGCCACCTAAGCGAAGTGACTCCCAGCCAGAGCCTGCCTCTTGCACCCTATCCCCTCCTAGTTCCTAACTCCCTGATCCAGGTCATCACCCCCTATGTCACCACCCAAATCCTCTGCATACCGCCCCAGATCACAATTCCCTCCCAGACCCTGCAACCTCTCATACAGCCCTCCACCAGGTCAAAATTCACTCCTGCATCCTTACTCCTTTTTGGACCTAGCACCCTAACCCCCTACTTCACCTAAACTCCTCAGACTCCACATCCTCTCCTGCACCCCAATCCTCTACTCCTAGCTCCCTTCTGCACCCGACCTCTGTCCCAAATCCTGCGCTCCCTGCATAGAGAAGCTCTGCACCCGACCTCTGTCCCAAATCCTGCGGTCCTCCATAGAGAAGCGCGGCCTTTGACCACTTTCCAAAATCTTGGAATGGCCCCCGATCAAAAATTATTGCCCACCCGTGCTCTAGATGGATCCACAGACCCTTTTTTCCAGTTTGCCCATATCATTTTGAATTTTAACCCTATTCTTCAAAGCGCTTGTCACCCCTCCACAAACTTTATAAGCGTACTTTATATGCCATTATCTAAATCACTGATGAAAATATTGATCAGAGCTGGTCCCAAAACTGATCCTTATGGAACCAAACCTGTAATGTCCTTCTAGCATGACTGTGAACTTTTGATAACTACTCTTTGAGAAGTGTTATCTAGACAGCTATGCACCCACTTTATAGTAGCCCCATCTATGTTGTATTTCCCTAGTTTATTGGTAAGAAGGTCATGTGAGACTGTATCAGATGCTTTACTACCATCTAGCTATCCCATGTCATCCTAGGTTCCTGTACTAACATCCCTATTCTTGTGACATATGAACAAAAATAAAATATCTGTAGTAAAAATTGGGGATGTTAAAAGGTGATTAATTGGGTAGACGTTTAACTGCTGAAAATCTCAGCTGGCTCTCTGCAGCCCTACTCCAAGGAGTCGGCTGCTGCCCCACACTGTTGTGTCAGTATCAAAAGCAGCAGCGTGGGGACAGCAGCCAGCGGCCCAGGAGTGGGGTGGGAGCCTGCGTGTAACCATGAACCATTAAGCCCAGGCTTATTGGTTAATGATTTACATGGTTGAACAGGTTTTTACTAGGGATGTGAAAGTATACGTTTTGATCTATGGATCAATTTCTCTCCTTCAGAAATTATTAGGATTTTTATCACGTGCCCCCCCTGTAGGCATTGAGATTTTCAGTTACATCCGAAGGTTAAAAGTGTCTTACCTGAGGCAACTTAAAAAAATATCGAACAGTCTTGCACCTTAGAGACTGACAAAAAATGTAGATGGCATCATGAGCTTTCGTGGGCACAACCCACTTCAGATGAACGGAGTTGAGGAGTCTAGTTTCCAAATAACCTGGAAATGATACTATTTATCTGGATAGGATTAAGAATCTACTTTTGTATAGTTGGGCCTCTCCTTTAAAATACGCTTTAATCATTGATGTGAGAATTGTTAGTAATGTTGAAGGGGGAGAAATATCTACATTCTGTTACAAGTTGGTAAGATTATTTCAGATTTCGCGAGCTAATGATAATGCAGGGTATTAGTCTTACTACAACTCAGAGAGAATTCTCTGCAAGTTTAAATGTGCAACTTGATTGAAATGTAATCTAAGAATTTTGTTTTTGTCTCTATAATCAAGCATATATGTAAGACACAAGAATATTTTGGAGTCAGATAATGTAACTAAGACAAATTAGGCTTCATATTCAAAACACCTCTTAGTGTGGTTACTCTTTAATATCATGAGCAGTTGTACATTATGTGAAAAACTGTATGTTTCCACAGATAAATACTCTTGATCATATTTATGCTATAATATTTAAATATAAGGGTCATATTGTTGCAGGAGGTTTGAAAAAGCCGCTATTCAGACTTTTTTCCTGGAGATTTTTTTAAACTCTTCCAATTAATGCTCTTAGGCTTTGTCCACATGTAAAGCTTGTATCACGCATCATGAGCTTTTAAAATACTACTTACTGTTTCAACATACTTTAAATGTCCTGGTGAGTTTTATTGAAACCATAAAAGACCTCTCAGGCTAGACCTTCAAATAGGGGTATTATCAAACATATGTTTTCAGTCTGGTAGGTACTTCTATTATGAAGGGTCTTAAACCAAAACTGCAGATTTTGGAGGAAGATGAAATTTTGACACGCATGGCAAGTCAAAACAAAATCACTTTCCATAATTAGACTTTTACAAAAGTGCTAGCATTCTACTTATGACTGCTGGCTTTTGGGTTTTGCCTTCATTTTAAGATGGCCTAGAATTTCCTCAGTGGAAGCAATTTTTAATATTGAATTTTGACTAACAACATCACTTCTCTTTGGTAAGAGAGGCTCTTACTGTACAGTTCAAACTTCTGGTTTAAGCCTAAAATGCATAGGGCCAAAGTGGGCTGTGGAGTAACTGGCAAAACTTACTTTTCACCACCCCTGAATATGACCCTTATTGTAGCATGCCTTGAAAATATTTCCTGCAGAATGGGAGAATTATGGTCAGAAAACACATTAAACATTGTATAACAGTGTACTGGAAAGTGCTTGAACACTTTTTTGGAGGGTAACTCATTGTGTAAATTGGTTTCAGACATTTCTTTGTGTGTGTATTTTATATATAAATATATATTTTTTTCTCCTATAGTGCATAGTGCTGTGGTAAACTGTCTTTCCTTCCACCCCTCTGGAAACTACCTCATTACAGCCTCCAATGATTCAACCCTTAAAATTCTGGATTTACTAGAAGGAAGACTGCTGTATACTCTTCATGGTCATCAGGTAAGGAGAATCTTCATGATTACTTTAATAAAGTAATGGATATAGTATTCTCAACAGACAGAGAAATGCTAGTGAGTTCAGTGTTAAGCTGCAGATTCTCAGCCTATAACTGTTAAGGTTCCTTAGTCAGTGGATGGAGATTAGGAAATGTAGAGGAAAATATGACAAGAAACAGAAGTTCTTCTTCGAGGATGTCCCCGCGGGTGCTCCACTGTGGGTGGACACCATCTCGAAGAATGACCAGTTACTGCACCAAGGTGAGCAACTTCGCTTTATTGATCTGATGTACTGCTTTCATAAGGGAGGGAGTATACACCTCAGATCTAGATTTGGCTTTTAATTTGTGAGAACTAAATTTAACACTTTCCTGCAAAGTCAGATATAGAAATAAAAAGTGCTAATATGTAGGGATCAGCATTGGAAAATGTCTTTATATGCAGACTAGTTACTGGGCTTGATGGGACCTCTGAAAAGGAGGGAGGGTATGTTCCTGGGCATGATTTGGGTTGAGAGCTTTTCTGGATTCTTTTCAATTTTGTTAGCTGGCTAAGTTAAATTGACAACTCTGCCAATCTGGAATATTAAGTAAATGTATTTGTATCCTAGTATTAATGCTGTTGGGTGTCTTGTTGTGGTAAGTCTGATTATGTTGACATGCACAGATGTCTTGTGTTTTTCAGATGTTAAATATAAATAGTCTAATGTCACTGTCCAAGCCGAGTGAAACAGCAAAGGCATTGCTAGTGAAAAGCAAACAATTCTAGATGGTTTTTTTGCACGATGGTGATGATAGTGACATCTTAAATTTTAACCCAAGACCTGTCATTGGCTGAGGGCTGGGACTTCCAAAATCAAAGGGCATTGGGTTTTTGTATCCCAACTTGGAAGGCCTACCTCTTGCAGACCTATTTAAAAAAATCCCAGCTTGAAGTTGTATAGTGGGTTGAGTTACATGAAATACAAAAACCAAGAATATCCACTAAATACATGACATATTGTAGGTATAAAATTGTTTAATAACTTGCTTTCTTTCATATTTAAAGTCCTTGTTCCCCTAAATTATTTCTGTTCAGACTTTTTTTTTTTTCTGGCCGCTCTACCCGGATGATTGCATAAAGAAGAAAATATGACCTTGACCTAGAGTAGTTTCCAGACCTGAAAAAGTAGTGAATAGCTGTGAGGTCATTAAACTTTGCATTGTGTAATGCTACAGGAGATTTCATTTGTAGACTTATGAGTGTTGATATTATATATATATATATATTTAAAAAAAGACTAGATTCCTGAATAAGAAAGTCAGATGTGGGACTAACCACAGATATACAAATAAATCGTTGTAGAGACTGGTCAAGGTCAACAAGACATGACTCTCACCTGCTGGATTCCAGCAATCCTTATTACATTATTATTAACAGCTGGAAACCCTTCTGCAGCAAGGCACTGCTACAGACAGTCTGTGTTGCAACACGCTAGACCCTCCAATTAGGGAGCAATGAAGCATTTTTTGCAAAAATGAGACGTTCAGTCTTAGTAGCATAGGGCCTGGTTCAACAGGCCTGTTTAGGGAGATCAATCTAGGCCTTAACCTTATAAAATCTAATATGTTGATTTGGAGGTTGACTTTTACCATAACTTAGTTTTCCACATACACTCCCCTTTCCAAGTGTGTGTGATATGTATTGTCTTTACTGCTTCCCTTCTAAACTTAACACAGCTGTTTGTACTGCCTCTGAGTTCCCACCTACCTATGGTAGCAATTAGGGATGTGAAAGACTAGTCATCTAGTTGCTTCCTCCATCCTCCTTGCTGCCTCTATCAGAAAGAGGCAGCAAGGAGTGGGAAACAGCAGAGGGTACTCCAAAGTGGCATTGGCGCTTGGGGCCAGACCCCGGGCTCCTTGCGGCGTTGTTGGTTTGAAATGCCTTGTGTAGCCCGGGGCTAGCTAGGGTGTCCCCTGGCTGCATGCGGCATTTCAAAGCTGCAGCACCGTGTGGAGTCCAGGATCAGTTGGGGACTTCCCTGCTGACCCCAGGCTCCATGCGGTGCTGCTGCTTTTAAATGCCCGGGGGAGCCTGACGTCAGGGTTCCCCACGGTATTTCAAAGCAGCAGTGCTGCACAGAGCCCGGGGTCAACGGGGGAGTCCCCCTGCTGACCCTGGGCTCCACGTAGTGCTTTCGCCTTTGAAATGTAGCAACAGCCCCTATGTATCCCTAGGAGCTGTTGCTACACTTCAAAGGCAGAAGTGCTCTATCAACTTTTGAATACCTGTTTGATTGGTCATTTAGTCGGTATTTAACATCCTTAGTAGCAATGAAGCCCTGGCAGCTGGCTATTCAACTCCGGGCTTCTGGGTATGGCCTCAGACATCTAGCCCATGCTACTGTCTACCTCTATTGTGACTTCTTCACTTCAGGTACCAGCTGTAGCTAGATCAAAGCTAGCTCATTGTTGTCTGTATGTGCTGTTGGGGCGGTGTAGACATCTCCAGACTCAGTGCCCATAGCTGTTGGTGATGAAAACAAAGTGTTAAAGACACACACACTTTTTCTTTTAAATGAGCAAGATCATAGAAATATTAGTCACCCAGATGAACAGCTTGTTCTGAAGACATTCTTGACTTGTGAGTTTGTGTGGGAGAAGATGCCTGATTCAGCTTTGGTGCTGGTTCTGACAGCTAACTGCTGTTCTGGGACAGTTTGTTGTAAGTGAAAATTTCAAGAAGACTGAGTTCCTTCAAACATACTTTGACGCAACTGTTGGAGTGCCAGGAATTTGTGTTACCAGTTGATTAGCTCTAGTTTACATAGGGAGAATTGCCAAGTTTACATTGCTGCATTTAATTATAATAGAGCTGGCCTCTCAAGGATCATTAGACTGGAGTTTGTAGCTCTGAGCTGACATCTTGCAGCTGCAGAATATCATGCTGTAGCTGCACATTTTTATTCTTAAGTGCTTCAAGTTGTGAAATACTTTCACTGCCTCGCTCTCATACAAATGAGACTTGGTATGCAGACCCACCATTGATATTTGTTCATCATACAGGAGCAGAATGTTACAGGACCTTTAGAAGTCATTCTTGGGTAGTCATTAGAAAACTGTAAATACTTACACTGTGTACGTACCCTTCTAGACAACTTCATTAACAAAGTAGACGTTGTAAGCAAATAGCAAAACATTATTATGATTGCATTTTTGGCCTTCTGCTTATAAATATAGTTAGGATTCTGCAAGGAACCTTAACTTTGGCCATATAACCCTCACCTTCTGCCCACTTGATTGGTAAGTAGTGAAACTCTCCACTTCGCTGACTAAAACTGTATGGCACTTTAAACAAATGTAATGTATCAGCCAGTGGGTGTGCTACATAGCTATATGCTCTCAAGGTATGTGGAGAAGACCGTATCAGATTTGCATGTGTTTCCAGGCCTTTGAGGTGTGACAGCAGCAGCGTGGGATGGGATGGGAGGAAGGTGTTTGAGGTAGATGCACGTGTGTCTGTATAAGTAGGGAATTTTTTAGATACCATTTGAAATATGGTATGTGGAGGCTTTTATTTTTCCATTTTAACCTTTTTTTGAAAAAAATAAATAAATTATGGTGATAAAGCCAGTGAAGTCTCTTGTAAGTATTTATATCTTTGTTTTTACTATCATACATGCTCCTTTTTACTAATTGTGATATGTCATCCAAATGTTTTTTTCCTGTGACAAAGTAATTTATTTATATAATTGCTGCTTTATATTTTTTGAAGGAACCGATTGTCTTTTGCCAATACAACTCCTCCCCAGACAGAAGGTATTAAATATCATGGCATCATGTGCTCACCATCATTAGAATGGATTTCTGCCACTCCATCTTCCTTATCCATTACTCAACTGGTTCTCTGTGCATAAATGGGTAGAAAATGACTTTGTTGTTGAGACGTGATAGTCTGCAGTTACCTCTGTGGAAAGGATAGTGGCATTGGCTCAAGGACTATGGATCATTGTGTCTTTTGGTAGCATCCCCAGAGATGTCACTGAATTGAAGATTAGGAAGTGTGAGATCTTTTTTTTTTTTTTGTGGTGGGGCGTATATAGATACTCTGTCAGTAGTAGGATCTCTACTGGGCAGCTCTGGTGACTGAGGATGGTGCGGGAGGTCCATGAATAATTGAATGACTTTTAGGGAAAGGTTACCTTGGTGAACTGCCAGCCATAGTAACTGGTGTTCCTTTTCAACGTTGTATCTCTAACAAAACGAGCTAGATGCTGTCTCGTTAACGAAAGTGTAAACACAGGAGTTCATAACCTCTGTCAGACTTAATAGTTTTGAAAAAATTTTTTTTTTTTTAACCTTGAGTGTCTTTCTTCCAAATCGACTACACATCTATTCAAAAAATACTTGGACACTAATTCTCATTACAGGAAACTGAGCAAAACTTCAGATTTCCAGTTGAAGTCATTTTTTGACCCAACACCATAAATTAATCTTTACAGAGATGAAGACCTCCCACTTGCCAGATTTACCTTGTCTAATTATTCTCAAGTTTGGGGTGACTGGCTAGTGGGGAATCTCATTGGACCTGAAGACAATGGGAGGAGGTTTGGGAGGATTTAAAAAATGAAATTTATAATGGAAAGTTTGTTTTAGCTTTGACAGGGGAGTAACTATCAGGTCTTCATGATGGCATCTGTATAGAAAGTTATAGGGCTGCCTTTGTTAGGTTTGTATAGTGCTTTATTGCTACACTGTGCAATCCCCAGCTTTTATAGGACTTCATGACCCAGCCTGTAGGTGAGATTTTATTTTTGTTTTTGAGGAATGTGTTTAGTAACAAGGAGTTTAGTAATCTGATCATATTTTCCAGCGCAGTCCCTCACTCGCAGTGTGGTTGGTCTGGCAAGGCTGGAGTGGGCCCCCTGCCAGCTCCTCACTAGCTAACTGGTTACTGTGGTAAGTATGCCGGTAAGGTGCATGCTTACTGGGTAATTGGTTAATAGGTTAACCCTTTGCATCCCTAGAACCTACCAGTTGTATTTACCATAGAGTACTATTTAACCTTTTAATAGTAAGATGATTAGTGAAAGATAATGTGTTTAAAACAATTGCCAACCCTTTTGACTTTTTTTTTTTTGAAAGCTTGTATATTACTCCTCTTGTGGAAGATATTACTGTTTGCTAAGCTGCTTTCTATCAAAGAAATGGCATAATCGATTTCCCCACAAATTCAGTAATTAAAAAATAAATAATATTAATGGTAGAGATTTACCTTGATTTCCTCTTCAGTGTCATGAATTAAACCATATTTTATGTGTTGATATAGACCTATTCATAAGCATGTATAACAAAGGAGAAGATTTATCAGACGTTGCTTCGGTCCTTAAGAAAAACAAAACTTTATCTGAGTTCATTTAAATCATTGCTCCGGGATGGGTCTGGGGATGAGGGGTTCAGTCTGCAGGCTGTACTGTGGAGAGAGGACTATCCCAGCCCTCTCGCACTGCAGCAGCTTGGGACCAGGTGAGAAGCTGGTGGCTGCACAAAGGAATGTGAGTGCAAGTAATAGTAGTTGTCTGCCTGACCACAAACAGATGAGCTTACTGGTTTATAGTGGAAACGTATCTGGTATATGTGTATTCCTTGTTCAGCATTTTAAAGTTCAGTGTATGTTTTCTAAGCCTGTGTTTCTCAAGTGTGGCCACAAAGGGGTTTCGTTGCTGCCAGGATAGCTTCTGGGGCAGCGATGGCTTGTCCCTCTCCATCCATGGTGCTCCTGGATGTGCAGCTCTGCATGTCTCTAGAGGCTGGCAGGGCACAAGGCTGAAGGAGCAAGTTGAGTACTTGGAGGGGAGAGGGAAAGGAGGCTAAGTGGGACTTGCAACCTGGGATGGTTGGGCAACAGAAACTTAGGGAGCTTGGCTGTAATCGAGGGATGTTAAATTTAGATGAATTGGCTAATTGAATAGTCGGTACAACTTGCATCAACTATTCGATTAGTTGATAAGGGCGCCTCTGCCTTTGAAGTGTAGCAACAGTCCCAGGGCTGATGCTATACTTCAAAGGCAAAAGCTCTGCAGGGAGCTTGGGGCCAGCATCCCCGGGCTCTATGCGGTGCTGCTGCTTTGAAGCACCCCCTCTACTTCTCCCTCTCCCCTCCCTTGCTGCCTCTTTCTGATAGAGGCAACAGATGGGGGGAGCGACCAGTCGTTTGCATCGCTACTCCAGGCATGGGGCTTTGGGCCTCAACCCCCAGCTGTGGCCATGCAGCCCTGATCTTCACCTATAGGGCTACAGATTCCAACCCCTGGCTGTGCAACGGCGAGCTCAGATTCCCAGCTTTGGCTGCATAGAGCCAACTCCCAATCCTGGTGGCAGCACCAAGTGCTGACCACTGTCTGTGCTCCAGTCTGGCTGCTGGCTCTAGTGCAGATCCAGCAATGGCCTTGGGCTCCAGCAGGCGTTGGCTCTGGATGCCAACCCCTGGCTGTGCGGCAGTAGGTGCAGACCTCAAGCACTGGCTCCCAACCCCGGTGTCCACCAATCCCTGGCCATGCACTTCAACCACCAGCCCTGGCTACTCACTCTGGGCACGCTCCTGGATGTTGACCTTGGGTTCTGGCAGGTGCTGGCCCTCAAGACTGGCTTCTAGTTCCTCTGTTGGGTCCTAGCCCAGGACCCTGACTCCTAGCCCTGGCTGTGCAGCAGCAGGTGCAGACCCAAAGCACTGACCCTGGGTTCCTGTCTCGGTAACACAGCAGCAGATGCTGGCTCTGGGTGCCGACCCCTGGCTACATGGCAGTGGATGCTGATCCCAAGTGTGGGCGCTAATCCCTGGCCATGCAAGCAGTGGTGCTGATTCTGTGTTTCAATGGGTGTTGGCCCGGAGCACCAACCCTCAGCTTTAGACACAGGCGCTGACCCTTACCCTGACCACACGGTGGGTACCCCATCCCCCATGGCTGTACTTTTATTGAGAGTGCAACCCCCCTCACATACATGGTCCGGTTGCATATATGGGCATGGTTATTTGTTTTTCCTCATGTTGAGTAAGTATTTTAGGGAAAATGTCATTGCGGCCACCAGCAAGTAACATTTTTATTGAGAACCCCTGTAAAGCACATCAGAGAAAGAAGGGGACTGGGTAAAGTAGCGTGATGGGGTGGGTGGGTGTGTTGGTCTTTTTTTTTAAGATGGGGAAATAAGTGCAATGCTATTAATGTAGCACATTCCCTTAACTTGATTAAGGGCAAATTAAGAGTAATTAATGAAAAGCTGCTTGTCTGCCTGTTTGGGTACAGTGTGACCTGAAGTAACATCGCAAGATTGACTGAAGTACAGTTTAAGTATACATTTTGTGTTCTACAAGTGCGTTTTTACTTTCCCAAAAGCCTTAGTCATCAGCAGTCTCTAGAAATCTGATCCAGACTTAAACAGAAGCTCAGCCATATATATTCATTGAAGCAGGCTGCGAAGTAATTGTTTAGTGTCTGTCATAATATTTCATTCTTGGTATTCTCCACTATTTATTCCAATAGAACAGTTTGTCTATTGCATCTGTACTTAGATAAGTATTTCCTAACTCTGCTTTATTGCATATAAGTGTCTGCCCAATCCTTTTGGGACTGCGTGCTTCTTAAATACTTGAAACCAGAGGTTTAAACATGTGAATTGTATTGCACTTTTGTTCAACCACTACTTCTGTTGAAGTCTAGTTAAGACTATTTAAAGTTTTTTTTTTTTTTTTTTTAAAAAGACTCATTCCTAATGTGATAGTGATATATTATCCATACCTTACCACAATACAGAGCCACTAAAGCAAGGGTGGGGAGCCTCTTTTGTGTCTGGGTCACTGACCCACAGAAAAACCATTTGGGGGCCGCACACAAGCGATAAGCAAAAAAACAAACAAGCCCTCACTGACATGGCCCCCAATTGAGAAGGAGAGACACGCTCCCCACATTCCCCTCCCACCCCAGAGCCTGGGGGGCCCCAGCCTAGTAGATTTTATGTGCTTCAGCCCTCCTGGTGCGGCAGCGGGGGTGGAGGGCTGGCGCGCCAGTGTGGGCTCCCCAGTGCTGGGTTGGGGGGCTCTGAGCCTCGGGGGCTGAATCCAGGCAAGCAAGGGGCTTGAGGTTCCCCACCCCTGCTTTAACCTGTAAATAACTAATTACGTTTTTTCTAGTTGTTAACCTTTTAGTTAGCTTAGTACAGAATTGTCTAAGCATTGTCTTTGGTATGAGATCTTAAGTTACAAATTGAGCTGAGGTAACTGACTGGTCTCTTGGGACTCCCTACTGGGAGTAGCCTTCATATTTTGAGATCTTTGGTGACCATTTATTATGTAGCCCAGTCTTCCTAGGTGGCAAGATAGAGTCCACCTGGATTATTGTAGTATTTTGGAAGTTCACACTTGTAACTTGGATTAGTGAAATCTAGTTCTAGAACACACAATCCATTTGGGGGCATCTACCCTGCTTTTTGATAGTCTGCACTAAGCTTGGAAATTTCTGTTGTGAGCCACGCCAGGCAGTGACACAGCATTGATATGTTACCATTTTCCACTATTCTGGCCCTCATCTCATCATGGAAGGACCAAATGACAGAAATGAACTAGGCAGGGCATCCAAAGATGAACAAAAGTTACCAGAGTCCCTCGTGATTTACAGAATCAAAAGCCTTAGGAAGTTGACAACCACCATGAAAAGATCATGACTTTGCTCCAACTGAATGGAATGTTTTAGTTTACTTGTCATTCATGCTATCAGCATTAACAAGGAATCAAGTAATGCTCTTCCACAGTGCCCATTAAAAGTAATTTTTGCTTGTCTCCCACTTGTATGTGATTAAAAGCTAGACTCTTCTGAGCCCAAATTTCTGTAAATCTGAATTCTGAAATCACTTAAATGTTATTTTGAATGAGTATAGAGAGGAACAAAGGGTGGATTACTCCTTAAACAACGAGGAATGATGTTTTTAAAGAGCCCAGAAATCAGATGTTGGGCACGTTTAAGTGTCTGAAGATGCAGATAAGTGCCTAGTGGAATTTTTCCAGAAGCAGTCTCTTTGGGTACCTAAATACCCTTTTGAAAATTTGGTTCAAGTTGATTTAAGTACTTTTGAAAATTTCACCTATCGTCATTAACTGCTTCCCTCTAAAAGACCTAGTGGTGTTCTTTTTATAGCTGGCAATTTGGTATTGAGGAGCTGGGTATCTTAAGTTAAAAAGTAAAGAACTTACATGTTGGTTTTAGAGAAACTTCTAGTACCCTCTTAAGTAACACCTGTCAATCTGTATTAAGAAATAAGTGTTTGATTATATTAATTTCTTGTCTGAGGGCCTATCTTGAACCTCAGCGTTGTAGCTCTCACATCTATAAATGTTTTTTTGTTTTTTTTTTACAGGGGCCATCTACTTGTGTTGCCTTCTCAAGAACTGGGAACTTCTTTGCTTCTGGAGGGTCAGATGAACAGGTGTGTGCTGTATCTGTTCCCTAGATTCTTGATGTAGTTGAGTGCATGGAAAATGTGTCTCTAATTATGATGCAGAAAAATCAAGGGTTTGTGGAACTTGCGAAAGAGACAATACATTAGCTTTACCATGAGCCACCTTTGAAAACTCTATAAATTGAGAAAGTTGCATGCCTAAGATGAGGGAATGAAATATAGATGGAATTGATGTAGGTTTAGAAGTTAAAATAAAAAAAGAACAAGTTAAAATTATTTAGAAATGTTAGATGTCTTCAAGTCACCAGGGCCTGATGAAATGCATCCTACAATACTCAGGGAGCTGATAGAGGAGGTATCTGAGCCTTTAGCTATCATCTTTGAAAAAAACATGGAAGTCGGGACAGATTCCAGAAGACTGGAAAAGGGGCAAATATAGTGCCCATCTATAAAAAGGGAAATATTTTTCTTGTTAGCCTTTAAACAGGATCTTTTGAAGCGCTAGTCAGATTACTTTTCCCCTTTTGCCTTGCATTGTTAAATAATGAGACAATTCATTAAGGTTTTACTTGCAGTTTTACTTTTGAAATAATTGCCTGATTCTGTGTTTATAAAGAGATTAAAAGAAATAGCAAGTTGGCTGTGGTGTGGCTTTTCTGCTAATACTGACTTTTTTTCTGAAGAAACTGAGGTGTTGAAAGCTGTATTTACGATGTACTTCAAAAATAGTTACAGTATGAGAAGATTATATAATTATTTAAAAGTTCATAATTTTTAAGATTCATGTGACTTTTTTAAACTGATCTCAATTTCCAATTTAAAGTACTATGAAGAAAGGGAACAGTATTAACTATAATTTCTCTATTACATAACTTCTGTGGCAACCTGCGTACATGGATGTCCCCCCCCCCCCTTTAATTTTAAGTTGCAGAGACTTCTTGGATTCCTTTATTTTGGTTTTGAATTTCCCTCATATGAAAAAACAAAAAACAGTCTCTGCTATATCCAGCAGTCCTTATTTTTTCTCACTGATGACATTTCTCATGTTTAGAAATTTCTCTTGCTGCTGGTAAGCTGGAAGCTGAATTGTAGCTCTTGACCTTTTTCTTTATTCCAAAAGGTCCTATTCATCTAGTTTTTCTGTTAGCAGGTTCCATTATAAGGTTGTTTATACCATTTTTTAAAGCCTCTCCTTTTGGCCGTAATTTTCTTTACTTAACATCAGCACAAAAGTGTGTGTGTGTGTGTGTGTGTGTGTGTGTGTGTGTGTGTGTGTGTGTGCGCGCACACACACACACACACTATAATGCCAAGGGGAGGAAAACTGTGACTCTATTTCAAGTCTTCTGCCATGACTGTGTTCCGTAAAAGTTTCATTTAAGGTTAGAATTAAAATCCCATTTATGGAAGTTTAAATACATGTTGCCTATAGCCTGATCATGCAATGTTTTATACACACGTTTGATGCTTCATGCACAGAGTTGTCCTGGGTGTAAATCTTTTTTGAGGGCTTCAAGTTATACCGAAAGGTGTCTTTTTTTTATTTTGATTACTGTTTTCAAAATTGCACCATCAGTTTCTGTAACTAGAGATGTCTAATGTGAAGTATGATTAGTTCTATGTTTTAAAAATATCAATGTCAACAGTTTTTTTTACATCAAACACTTTTTAAAATTAGTAGCTAAAATAAACCCCACAAATATTAAATCCTACAAATATTTAAATTACTTTTATTTGTACAGCTTAATATATCTCAAACTACTTATCAACTTAGGTAGGAATTCACTGTCTTAAAGGACTCCCCTTCAGTCCTTCCAGTTCATTTTCATATGTTCAAGTGGTCACTTCATGAAGAGAAGCCAGATTTTTTTTGTCACTCTCCAAAAGTGCTTATGGTGGAATTCATTAGGGAGAGAAGTTGCTTGTTACTGAGGTTCATCGTCATTTGTTTCCATTGGTTTTCCTTTGCCATATAAGTACGCTTTTCCTGAGTGATAATCCATAGGTTAAAAAAGGAAGTGCTGGTAGTTTAATAAAATATAACTTCGGTGGATTTTCTGATGGTGGTCAAACATTTTGGAATTACCTACGCTCCAGGGCATACTTGACCTGGAGAACTCTTGCTACATTTCAAAGGCAGAGGCACAGTAGTCAGGACCTGGCACGAGCAGTGACTGCTTGAGTCCCCGCTCATGCTGTTTCCCCACTGTGCCTCGGTCCTCTTCTCCTCCCTCCCCCTCCCATCTGCGGAGACTGTGTTGGGGGAAACTGGCTTTTTAGCCAGCTCCCCACAGTGTCGTCTCCTGCTCTTCCCCATCCTTGCTGCCTGTGATACAGAGGCAGCAAGCGGGGGAGAAGTGACTAGTCAAGTGGTGACTCGACTACCCGATAAGCCTGTGCCTGTCAGGTAGTCGACTAGTTGCTTACATCCCTAATGTGGACCTTGTTAATACCTACTTATGTGCTTCAATCGATCCCATTTCAGAGAGGAGTAGATGAAAGCACATTAACATACTGTTAAAGCATGTCAGGTCCACATAGACAGCCTAGTACATGTCAGACTATTTGTGGGCTAGATTTGTGCCCTAGCTTGCAGCAAACTAAATGTTTGTGTAGACAAGCTCCATGTAGTTTTCCCCCCTCGGAATCCTTGGTGTGCTGGCATTTTTCCAGACTGCCAGCAAAATGAATGTATATATATGTACATTAAGGTTTTTTTTTTTTTTAAAGATTTTAGCCAGCTGGTTTTTATTCTGCAGGTGATGGTATGGAAAACTAACTTTGATGCTGCTGACTATGGAGATGTATTGAAAACTCAGAAGTATGCCACTAATGTAACAGGATCTCTTCACAATCCGGTAGGTCAGACCACCTTACATTTAATACTGTTAATTATTGTTGACGTTTTGACTTCCCTAGTTTATCTACCTATGTAACACATTTGCAAGGAGACACTAGTTTTTCTTTAAAGCTTTGTAGGGAGAGCTATCTTCCTCTTTCCTCCCAGCTCACTTACGCAGTTCATTATCAAGTGACCTTAAATTCTAATCAAGTGCCTGACAGTAGCTCTCCAGAAGACACTCTAGAAATCTGTGTGAGCAATGCTCACTGATTCTTTCTAACTTTTTTAGCTTTTGCATAGATTGTGAGGCAGCTCTTTTTCTTTTTACTGAGAGAACTATGAGGATATTTAATGAGCATTATCTATACCTTCGAGGTGTCTGGTTATATTTCACGCTACAGAGTCATCTAGTTCTCCAGTTGCAGAATGTCTGTTTTATTGATGAGGCTGGTGTTGTTTCCGGTTATCCCATAAAAAGTGCAATTCAAGAACTGGATGAATAATATGGCCTTAGAGAAAGGGAAATATGTAAGCAATAACTTCAATAGAAGAGTGCTTAATGATATAGCTATAATCAGGATAATTAATTTAAAAGAAAACAAAACATTAGCAACAACTGAACTCTAGCCTTATAAAATATGAATAAATCCATTAGGCTTGTGTCAGAGTTCCTAAAATAGATTTTGTAATAAAAACTAATAGGCCATACTGGGTCAGAACAATGGCCCATGGAGTCCAGTAGCCTGACTTCTCATACTGGCTGGTGCCAAATGCTTCAGAGGGAGTGAAGAAAACGGGTCAGTTTATCAAGTGGTCCATCCTTTGTCATCCAGTCCTAGCTTCTCCCAATCAGACTTAGGGACCCCAAGAGCACAGGTCTATGACCATATTGGCTAATATCTACTAATGGACCTATTCCCCATGCACTTATCTAATTTTTTTTTAACCCAGTTATGTTTTTAGCTGTTGTGACCTCTCCTGGCATGGAGTTCCACAGGTTGACTAAGCATTGTGTGAACAAGTAATTTTTGTGTTAAACCCCCTGGAGTTTGTGTTATGTGAAGCAGTAAATAACACTTTTTTTTTCTCTCTCACTGTTCATAATGTTAGAGACCTCTGTCATATCCCCGCCTTAACTGTCACTTTACTAAAAATAAACAGTCCCGGTTTGTTTAATCTTTCTTCATAGGGAATCTGTTCAGACAAGTATTTTTCCAAGCTAGCTGCAAATCATGATCTAACAAATGAAACTTTGCAGATGTTAAGTGCTGAATACGAGCTAAGTAGTGTATTAGGTTAAAACACTATTTCTAAGGGCTGGTCTACATTTGGGAACTTTTATCAGCATAATTATGTCTCTTAAAGGGGTGAAAAATCCACACTCATAAGGTCTGGTCTACACTGGGAGTTCAGGTCAATTTTTCTGAACAATGATTGCACACCACCAAGTCCCTTCCATCGACTTCAAGAGTTGTTAAACTTGATGAGAGGTGCCACTATTCTGACTTTGTCCTTAGTGTAGACAGCGGTAGGCTGACAGAAGAATTCTTCTGTTGACCTTATTATCACCTCTTGGGGAGGAGGATTGCCAGCATTCCTGGAAGAACCCTACCTCTCAGTGTAGTTCGCTGCACTTCACTATAGACATTATGCTGCTGTAGTGCTTTAAGTGTAAATACAGTATACCCTAAATTTCTGAAGACTCAGGTTCAAATTTTTTCCTTGGGTTATGAGTAATATAAATGTTTTGATTTGATGCTCTTAATGAAATCTAATGTGAATGTGGCTATTACAAGTGTAACCTATTAAGGCTACCAAATATAGTGGATACAAATGTATTCTGTCTAATGTGATAAATTTGGTAAATAAAAGTCTTTTGTGGATATTGCTTATAAGCATTTTTAGCCTCCCATGTCCAGTAGCATTCAGTAGTGCTGCTCTGCTTATGGTATTTAGATATAAATGCTTTCTAGTGAGTTAATTTTTGGATCATGAAAAGTATGATACACATTTTTAAAAGATGGACTTCCTGATTTATAATGTTGGCAGAAAGTGTTTTGCCAAAGTAGTGAAATTGTGACTCTAATAGCGGTGCTTACAATGCAGTAAGAATGGTAGCATTTTGTAATACATGCCAGGTAGCTGTTCCAGTTGATTTATTTTCTAGATCTGATGCCCTAGGAATGCTGAACGTTCTGTTAAAAAAAGGTTGGACTAAACAAAACTGTTAGAACAAGGAGGTGCTAGATGGAATGAGCAAGATGCTCCAAAAGGTTAGAAAGCAAGAATCCCTTAACTGCTGTTGGATAAAATAAAAACTTGTTTTTTCCCTTTATATGATGAAAATGTAAAACTCTGCCAGTCACACACTCGTAAAGTGTGTCAGCCCCTGAACTAGATGATTTTAGACTACTAATATCTTCCTAATTTCAGATGTCCTGGTTTCCCCAATCTTGCTGCCCTTTAATGCAGTAAAAGCAGTGTGTCACTGCAAAAGGAGCAGGTGTACCAGGCAGAAACTACTCTCCCTTTACTCTGCACCCTTGTTCCCTCCCGCCCCCTCCTGGCCACTGGAATGACAGTGGCTTTTGGTTCTGCTGGCTTTTGTGTGCATAGTTCCTTTTGGAAAGAGACTCCTTGCAAAGAGTAGTTGCAGTCAGCTCAGTTCCTTTCTTTCTCATGAGACAGTGGAGACTACTTTGCTCAGCCTGGACAGAGGCGCACCCTAAGTAACATGTCCCAGAAAAGCAGCAAAACACCTGTTAATCACTGAATTTCAAAAGTAGTTGCTCAGTGGAATTTGCATGTACTGGAGTGAAACAGAACTAGATGAGGAGGAAGTTTTAGTATGAGGCCTAGTGACAAGGAATCTTTTAAGAAATGTTGCACAATTGCACTATGTGGGAAGAACTGTGGGAGCACTCGCATGATGTTTAGCCATCATGTCTTCAGATTAACTGTTACTGTCTTAGTTTAAAAACACTCAGGGCCTTTCCATGCTAGTGTTACTGCTTGTCAAGCTGCACGGGGGTTAGTAAGAGTGGAAATTAAAATGCTAGCTGATGCTGTCTGAGAAACAATTCAGGGCTAACACGCCACATCACTCACTTCCCAACCACAGTGTAATTTCTGTTGTATCCTAGGAATTGGTTAAAATATGTTCTAGTGTTGCCATGTGGATGATCCTCAGCAGAAGAGTGGACCTGGGGATGAAATGTTGGCCCCATTGAAATCAGAAATAAAACTCCCTTGACTACTCTGGTTACAGGATCACACTCCCGGTATCTTTTGGGTTGTCGCTGTTCTTCCCATGCTCATATAACAATTTTACTGTGACCAGATGAATTCTAACATGGTTTAAAATATAGTGAAAGCCGAACATATATAACTGTTTTCCCAATGGATTTGCTACACACAATCAAAATTGTGGTCCTGTAGTTTTTTTTTTTTTCAAAATAACAATGCTCAACAGTCTCAGTTTTCCGTATCCTGGTATACACTGGGTGACACAGACTATTTCTTTTTAAAAATCCATAGTTTTCCTATTGTAGGTGGGTTTATAAGAGGATGAGATGGTGTTTAGCATGTTTTTCCTTGAGAAGAGCCCAAGCACAAATTTAAATTCCATAAGTTGTCTAGCTTTAAAAGGGTTGTGAAATAGTCTGTGAAGCATAGCAGGTGTGGCTGTTGAAAAGATTCTGGAGGTGGTTTGATTTTATTATTTAAGTGGTGTAAATAGCTTGAACACTGAGCCCTAGTTTCCATAACCTTTCACTTGCACATCAGATGATGTGTTACTTTAAATGCTATTTTCAGACATTGCTATTTCAGACAATGCTATTTTCTTTAAAGGTAAAGTCGGGTTTTTTTTAAAGCATTTTCTTATAACTCCGTTTTAACTTGCAACTTGTTCAGTTTTCTTTATGTGTAAGGGCTGTGTTTTGTCTTGGGCAAGCTAAAGTGCTTTAAAAACAAGATATTTCTGCAGATAAGTTTTTGCTATAATTTTGAGAGGTTAGTTTCCTTTCTCCCCTCATCTTTGTGCTGACCAACCTCTTAAATTACGAAATCAAACTTTAAAGCTGCAGAATAGTGATAGAAATGTAGCCGTGTTAGTCTGGGGTAGCTGAAGCAAAATGCAGGACAATGTAGCACTTTAAAGACTAACAAGGTGGTTTATTAGATGATGAGCTTTCGTGGGCCAGACCCACTTCCTCAGTCTCACAAGTGGCGTTTGATTTCCTGATTAAGAATTACCCATTAAAAAGGGAAGCTGCTTACTCTTTTCCTGCCCCACAACTGTATTAAGAACTTGCTATTTTAAAAAAGGTCGTCTGCAGAATAGGGATGTAAGCGACTAGTTGGCTATCCGATAAACAAAAGCTTATTGGTTAGTCAAGTAGTTCCTTGACTGGTCGCTTCCCCCCACCTTGTTGCCTCTATCTGCAGGCACTTGAGACCAGAATGCTTCAAGAGCAGAGTCCAGGGGTCCATACCTGCACCTTACACTTCCTTACAGAAGCAGCAAGGGGAGGGGGAGGAGCAGACAGTCTTTTAATACATTTAAAAGGCTAAAGCGCAGCAGGGGGGGACCCAGCGTGAGTCGGGAATCAGCTGTCCTGGCTTGCCCTGGGTCCCTACTGCTGTGCTTTAGGCTTTTAAATGTATTAAGAGCCTACCGGCTCTTAACGTATTTAAAAGGCAGAGCCACGGTGGGAAATCCATCCACAACTCGATTAGTTGATTAAACTAAATTTAACATCCCTACTGCAGAATTCTTTAACCTTGTTATTAAGTTATCCCTTCAAAGGCTATTGTCCATTATTCCTTACCAATACTGTGGATACGCTTAGGCGCTTACACTGTGTTAAAAAAATTCTTTTCATTCCCTCTGAAACATCTGTCATCGGCCACTGTCGGGGACAGGCTGCTGAACTTGATGTATCGTTGTCTGACCCAGTACAGCCATTCTTGTATTCTTAAGGTTTGGGTATCCTGGCTTATTTCAGAAGTAGAATTCTTGTCCATTGCAGGGCCTTGTCCTACTTCAAGCTAGTACGTCTGGAACAGAAGGTCACAATGCGGGGGTTCTGAAACGTCATAGCATTGTGATTTCCCCTTCTGACAACAACAAATTACAACATGACCTCGGGGAGGGGCTGGGAGTGGGGAGAAGCCTGAGCCTGCCTGAGTCCCACCATCCTGGGGAGGGAGAATCAAAGTTGAAGCCTAAGGCCTTCAGTCCCAGCCAAGGGACCTGAAGTCTGACAACCAGGGCTGAAGGCCTTGGACTTCAGCTTGTGTCCCAAGTGGTGCGACTCGGGCTTTGGCCCCAGGCCACATCAAGTCTAAACCAGCTCTGGCAATCCCATTAAAATGGACCCTTGACCCACTTTGCTGAACTACAATAAAAACCCTGCTAGGCAAAGGAGAGACCTTGTGAGTGCGTGCGTGCGCTCCCAAGACATAATGAAGTGTGTGTGTAACTTGGGTTTGGAAGCTGAATGTGTTCCTTTAAATGATCACACACAGGCTTCACTCAGGTCAGGGAGGGTATGTCTACACTACCCCCCAGTTCGAACTAGGGGGGTTAATGTAGTCATCCGGAGTTGCAAATGAAGCCCGGGAAATTCAAAGCCCGGGCTTCATTTGCAACTCCGTATGACTACATTAACCCCCCCTAGTTCGAACTAGGGGGGGTTAATGTAGTCATACGGAGTTGCAAATGAAGCCCGGGAAATTCAAAGCCCGGGCTTCATTTGCAACTCCGTATGACTACATTAACCCCCCCTAGTTCGAACTAGGGGGGTAGTGTAGACATACCCGGAGGTAATATCTTATTGGATCATTATCTATTTGGTGAGAGGGACAAGCTTTTGAGCTTACACAAAGGTCTTCTTCAGATTTGGGGAAGCTTGTGTCTACCTGAAGTAAGTCCAATAAAAGACTTTACCTCATCCACTTTGTAGTCTCCTGTGACCAGTCAGTCATAGGTTCTGTATGTAAACTTGAAAGCTAAGGTTGCCAAATTAAAAAAACAAAGCCTTCGTGTGTGAATTATAGTTTTTCCAAATATCCAACCTACACCTCTCCCACTGTAACTTGAGACCATTGCTGCTTGTACTGCTATCTGTCACTACTGAGAACAGCCTCTCTCCATCCTCTTTGGCAGCCCCCCTTCTTGTAGCTAATGGCTGCTATCAAATCCCCCATCACTCTTCTGCAGACTGACTAAGCCTTGTTTCTTCAGCCTCTGCTCATAAATTATGTGGCCCAGCCCTCTCATAATTTTTGTTGATCTCCACCATAGGGATATAAGCGACTAGTTGACTACCCAATAAGCATATGCCTCTATCAGAGAGAGGCAGCGGGGATAGGAGGGAGCAGGAGCCGGTGGTGCTGGGGAGAGCGGGCTTAAAAGCTGGTTCTCCCCACCACTGTCTCCGGCGGGACAAAAGAGGCAGAGAAGCAGCAAGGGGAACTGGGAGCGAGCTGGGAATCAGCTGTCTGGGATTGAATCTGATCCCCCAGCTACACCTCTGCTACCAGGATCTTAATACATTTAAAAAGCAGAACTGCAGCAAGGTTAGCTCCTGGGCCAGGAACTAACCCCGCTGTGGCTCTGCAGTTTCCCCCTGATCGAATAGTTGATGGAATTCAATCGACTATTCAATTAGCTGATTACCCACAATTTAACATCCCTACTCCGCTGGATTCTCTCCAGTTTGTCCACATTCTTTAATAATTTTTGTTGCCCTCTGCTAGACTTTCTCCAATCCATCCACATACTTTCTATAGTGAGGCGCCCAGAACTGGGCACAATACTCCAGATGTGGTCTCACCAGTGCCGAATATAGGGGAATAATCACCTCTCTAGGAGGAGCACTGCCAGCCGATCTGCGCCTGAAGATAACATCACAGGCCGCCGGGGCGCCCTGTGATTATGTCACAGCCATTGATGGGGGCACCGAGCACGCCTTCCGCCTGGGGCGCCAGCTGCCGCAGCTAGCCTTGGGCCGCTCCTGCTCCTAATGCATCCTAATAGGTCCTTAGCCTTCTTGGCTGCAAGGGCACACTGTTGACTCATATCCAGCTTCTCACCCACTGTAAACCCCCAGGTCCTTTTCTGCCAAACTGCTGCTTAGCCAGTTGGTCTCCAGCCTCTAACACTGCTTAGGATTTTTCCCTCCCAAGTGCAGGACTCTGAATTTGTCCTTGTTAAACCTAATCAGATTTTTTTGTTTTGGTCCCAATCCTCCAATTTGTGTAGGTCATCTGGATGATATCCTACCCTCCAGCATATCTACCTAGCCCCCAGCTTAATGTCATTTGCAAACATGCTGAGGGTACAATCCATCCAGTCATCTAAATCATTGATGAAGAAGTTGAACAAAACTGGCCCCAGAACTATCCCTGGGGCACTTTGCTTGATACTGTCTGCTAACTAGACATTTAGCCGTTGATCACTGGTCCTGATGATCTAGCAATTACTGGATGGGGGTCTGAAGAAAGTATTTAGAATCAAAGGCCTGGATCCTGCAAATGACTCAAACTAAATAGATACTTATGCCATGCAGTGGAGCTCACTGGGCAGAGGAGTCTGTGCATATGACAGGATGAGACCCATAGAATGTATTTCTATTTTCTTGGAATATGTGATCTGAAATCTTTAATTGGATAAATTATTCTTCAGAGAGAGTTGATCACACTGTAGTCATATTTTCTTGTCAGTACAAAGAATGCCTATTGACGGGGAGGTATTTCCCTTACATTATATAATGAAATTCATATGCTAGTTAAATCATATCAGTGATAACTATGTATTTGCTGGCTTTAGTTGCCAGATTCTAGGAAGACTATGTATGGTAAATTTTTTTTGAAGAGCAAATGCTGAGCAATTGATATCACATTGACATTTAGAAACTGCTTAGATATTTATCTGTTTTTGTGCACTAAAAAGGATGGTGGTGGCGGACAAAGATTGTGGTTTGTGAGCTTAGCTTGTAAATATAGCTTTTAGTATACATGGGAAAAAAAGGGAAATCCATTATCTTCAAGACTTTTTTCGTAAACTTAAATATTGGCCCTTTTTAGGGATGTTAGTGTTTGAATTTTCAAGTATGAGATATTACTGCACTCGAATAGCTGTAAGGCTGAGGTGGAATTTAGTATGTAAACCTGTATTTTCTGCTGGTTTTTGTACTCTTTGAAAACGCTGCTTTTTGTCTCATGCTTGCCAACCTTGTTTCTAGGCCCTTCTGTGATACTTTGTACTGTGGTGAAAAGTTATACCTATGGGAAAGGGAGAGACATGGTCTTAAGTGAGGGATTTTTAAAAATGTGAGCATGTCAGAGTATGATGGGCATGGGGGAGAAAAAAAAGGTAAGCTTGTCACTGATGGCAGAGGAAGTATGCTTTATCTTGTCAGATGGGAGTTTTGCAACTGTATG